AATTAGTAATGTTTGTAAATAAAAAATTCTTTTATATCTTCGAATCATGTAACGCTATTAAAAATCTATCGATATTACCCCATCTGTGATGGGGATTATGTATTAACATTTCGATAGAACGAAATGCTGAACGAAATTTTAACTGGTAACAAAAAATTGTTCCACCGTATTGACGACGCTTGTCTATGACAAGTGTTTTTTACAAGGTGTCTAGATATCGCAAGGTGTAAAGTACTCGCTTCTTATTACAACCGTTACACTCCTCCATTAAATTCAACCGTCTTTCGAGATCTCGCAAAATCTAAAACTAATAGTTTCACAAAGTATAAAGGATTTCACCTTGCTGGTGAGAAACAGAATCTTGTAATCCTCCAACGTTCATTTCGATGATTCATCAACTTTTCTTCCCCATCGTCTTTTTCCTCGAATTACAAAGAAATCGATACTAATCCGTAACGACGAGTCCAGTATTATAAAAGTCTGACAATCGATGTCGTGTCATCGATCTTTGATACACAACATACACCACGCACACCATGCACACATGCACACACGTACACACACGTAGACTTTTTGCAGGCAGCGGCATCTAAAGCTTTAAAATAAGAAACAAGGATAAAAAATTAGAATGGTCGATAAATCACACTGAAATTGCTGCAATTAACGATTCATTTAAGTCGTATAAAATCACACAATAAATTATATCAAGATCATTTATTCTAATTAACTAGCGTTAAGACTATAGAAATATTCTCGATGAATATCGATAAATCAATTTTTTGCAGCCAACTTCATCTGTAATCAACTTCAAGGAAAATGTTCAAATCATTGAGCAAAAACTAAAATCTGATTGCAAAAAAGTAGAAAAGAAGAGAATTTACAAGAATGTTTACGTTAAATGAGATGAAATGACTATTATAAATTATAAACAATTAAGACTAAGGTTATATACAAGTTTAAATTGACTAACGTAGTGAATATACATTTAAAGATTCTTGTAACAATTATAAATTTTCATTTTATAATAGCAATTATGAAAATATATATGTGTGTGTGTGTGTGTCTTTTTTACTGTATAATTAAATATATTCTTTTGTGTAAAGAATGTATGTATGTATGTATGTATTAAATGATATGCATGTCACTCGGTGAACGGTATATTCCAAGTACAAAAAATTCAAGAGAAACAAGATTCTAATAATCACAAAAAAGATGTATATAAATGCCTCTAGATACTTAATTTATACAATAGTCCTTCATCTACTAAACTAAAAAACAAAGACATTTTTATTAACATGGTAACCGTTGAATCGCCATACTAACCATGTAAAATATATGGCTCATAGAATATACCTACCACTGTAAAAGATATGGTGATATTGGGAAAACAATATAGAGGAACAATAAATATACAGACATGAAAAGATTTGCAATTGTTGCACAACCATCCGGTTAGACAGCGTATTGCAAGCAAAACAACAGTACACCTTTCACAATGCACAATAAAGATCGTGATTTGTCGAACTGTCCGTGTCCAAATCTTTGACCGAATCGCAATTCGACTCTTCCAATATGGCGTATATATCGAGATATTTCATTAAACAAGCATAATGATAATCGACAGCGCAATAATCGAATTTATTTGTTTTCTATTCGATGATACTACTTCAAAGTCAAAATCGCAACGAAATTATCAATAATTGTTCCAAAGGAACAAATCCTTTCTCTGATTGATTATCTTAATCGATCCTTTTATCAATCTTAAATTTAACATTGATAAGTGTTACAACACTCGCAAAAGAAAAATATAATATTTTTTTGTAATTCTTATTTAGAGCTATGGATCAAGTATGAATTATTCTTCTGAGAAGTAATCTCAGTGCGAAATTGACAAAGGGAAACAGAAAAGGAGTATTTATTTTTTATTGTATATATTGCTATTAAATCAGAAATGAATCTATGACAATCTGTATTGGCTCTTTAGCAAAGAAAAAATAACGCAGTTGCATTATAATTCCTTTGTTCTTTCTCTGATAACGAGATTTTTACATAGTATGACAATTACATAGTAAATATATTTATGTATATACTCTTCAGTTATAAAATATACTCTTTTTGAGGGGAAAAATGGAAAATAAAATAAGATACAAGTAAATGTACGATCAGCTACAACTTGTCTAGATGTTTAACTGATTTATATCATCGATTAATGTATTATGCTATAAATTAGGAATTAATATGCGAGATAGCAAATGCAAATGCTACAATTACGCAGCATGAATTACATAATAATAAAAATTGTTTGTAACGTCGAGATAAGTTACGCGCGTCAATGTTAGGAGAAAAAATTTCTTTTGATAAGGTTATTCATTGCGCAGAGCTTATAATTAATTATTTCTGACTGATATATATTTGCCGATAATAAATTGTATTTCAAAAATACTCGAGATTTCGAATTTCGAATGAAGTACGAGAAAATCCTAGATCAGTCTTTAACGCTACATGTAACACGATATTACAATTATTAAATACAAGATATTTATCTTTGAATCACACATAATATATCTATCAATCGATATCTAAATCTTTATGAAACAAAGGAGAAATAATAATCGAAAACCTTTCGATTTGACTTTATATATTTCATTACATATATTCATTCGTTAATAATAATTAATTAACAATAATAATAGTCGACATATAATACAATAAGAGTAATAATTAATAAGAAACTAATTATCTTTTCTTTCTGTGACAGCTGCCTCAGTGCCCTAAAGATCCTAACAATCCTACAGAGTTTATATATATATATATTTTTTTCTTTTTTTTACTTTTGAAATTAAAAAAATTAATTCGAGAAAGATAGTGAAACATTTTGTGCTTCTATTGTTATACACATGGTTGGACATGTACGTCATCTTCAATGCTATTGATTACATTTCCCTCATATCATTTTTTTTAATATTTTCTTTACCTTTTGTTAATCATACGTTAAATAACAATGAGTACTTTAATAGTTTAGATATATATAGAAATGTCTCAACATTTAAGCTCTTACGCAAAACTACTTTTGTTTTTTTCTTATATGTTATGTAAGTAATATTTGCGTTTAATATTAAAAAACCACACGAATCGTTTACCATTAAATACGGACGTCAAATCGTTCATAAAATTGTTGCGAAAATTACCATTTTTGTTAGCTGAATTTTCTACTAACTCATATTTATACGATTTATATGTATATAAAAAAAGATTTCAAGCATTTTTCTATATTAAACGTGCAAATTGTAGGTACTTATGAAAAACGTCAATAAATTTTTCTTTAATTATGAAAGGTAATTATATAATATGAGAAAAGTTCAGTTTCTAAAAAGTCAGTTTTTAAAAATATGTATATAAATATTTCTACGGAAATATTTTAACATGTCATGCAGCAGAATAATAACATCTATAGTAGTACTGAAGATATTTTCCAATAATTTGAAAATTTGATTATAATTTTCACACTTTACTCTTTAATTATTCCACAGCAATTGTATATGTTACCTCTATATCATTCTGAAATAATTTGCACGTTCTTAATTTTTTAATGAAAGCAAAAAGCATAAATAATTTAGTTTTTCAAAAAATGGTACCAAATATTAGTAATGCTTCAAGCTCGGAATAAAAGCAAAAGTAATATCACGTTTTTTTTACCTTCAAAATCAAAATAAACGTAAAATAAATATAATGGTTACCAAATCTTAAAAAGAATTTAGTTTCCAATTATGTCATAGCATTCTATATACGAAACAAAGATGTAGTTTCCGCTAGAAATGTCGAGTAGTTGTTTTAACACGTTTGTTGTAATACATCTGCTAATTTAAAGATCAACTTCGAGGTAATCGTAAATGTATGCTGTTGGTGGATTAGTAACATCATCTAAGATTTCAGTTGATGTCAGTTCAATGTTCGAATTGCGCCATGCATTAGTATCAGTTCCATTGATATCCAGACCAAGTCGTAAATTAGCCGGAGTATTGCCAATAACAAAATGGTCTTCGGTCAAGGGTAAAGCATCTTTCAACAAATGCCTGTAAGACATAACAACTACAAATTTTGTCATTAACGACAACACGACAACAATCAGAAAATGCGTTAAATAATTCGCACTCAAAGACATAATAGTAATATTATATAATGCATTTACCAAATATTTTCATCAGCGACAATGTGTACTTTAGGTACGGGGAATCCATTAAATGGAGAAGCAACCGGTAACGTGTATGCTCCCATATTTTCAAAAATTATCCAATCGCCAAGTTCCATTTCATGTAACATAATGTTCTCTACGACTTGATCCAAACCATCACAAGTTGGTCCCCAAATACTTGAGGGGTACATTTTTCCACAACCTTTCTGTTAATGCAAAAATATTTATTATTTAATATTTAATGTTACAAATATTGAATAATTTAAAATTCCATATTGTACAAACTATTTTCAAATACTGTGATTATTTAAAATGATTACCTTTAGAGGTATTGGAGTTACATGCTGATGATCATAGAGTAAACAATTGAAGGAGCCATAAACACCATCATTAATGTAATACATATTGTGCGTAACTGAATTTGGTGAATTTTCATCGCCACGTACTGAACGTTTGCTATGAATGCTAGTTGCAAGTGTAAATGCCGAGGCAACATAAAAACGACCAGGTTCAGCGATTATGTGAACAGCATCAGCTGAAAATTGTAAGCAAAGGAAATTTGTATTTAAATAAAACTATTATAAAGATAAAACATATTATAATCACAATACCAATAAATATTACTTACTATTAAAGAATTCGTCAAGTGCCTCATTAATGACGTTAGCAATTTTATCAATACTAGAGCCTTTATCTCCGGGATAACCACCGCCAATATCTAATAGATATGGCTTAAAACCAAGATCAATTGCTAAATCAAACAATATTTTAGATTCACGTATAGCTCGATAAAATACAGGTGGATCTCTGCAACCTGATCCAACATGAAAACTAATACCGATGACATTGAGACCCAAAACGCGTGCAAGACGTAAAAGATTGGGTGCTTCATATACAGGATCACAACCAAATTTCATGCCTAACTGACACTGTGCAACTTCTGCATCGCAACGAATTCTAATAACAACCTAAAATTAAATTATAATGAATTAGATAAGAATATAACTAAATATATATGATAAAATAACAAATAATATTTCCTATTACCTTGGCACTTGGATGAAGTTTTTTAATCTTATGTAACTCGCTTTCATTATCTGCTGTCATAGCATCAACTCCAACAGCAGCAGCATGACGGATATGTGATGCTGGCTTAGCAGGATTGGCGAAGATAATTCTTGATGAGTCTACTCCAACACTTAATACTTTATTAATCTCCGACTATAAATAACACCGAATAATAAAAATCTCAGTTAGATTGTTTACCTCAAATATCTATTAACTAATATTAATAACAAAGTATTAAATTACTTACTTTAGATGCACAATCAAAACCAATACCAAGAGCAGCCAATACTTCAATTACAATTAAATTATCGTTACATTTTACAGCTGAAATTTTATAATGAAATTAGTGAATTCAACACGAGATACAATTTGTAATATTTAATGTTATTTATAATTATCTTACCATAATAGGGACTGACACGTGGCATTTTTTCTTTCCATATTTGATGTTTACGAACAATGTCTCCAATGTCAAGCACATAAAAAGCTTCTTCTTGCAATCCACTCAGTGCAATGTCTTTGATGACAGTCATAACATTTGACGCACTGTCCAAAACATGAATACGTTCATCCAAATTTGTTACCTTCATATTGACTATTTTGTAAATTTTTTTAAAGATACTCTGTAGGCGCTAGGCAGCAAACTGAAATTATACAATTATTAGGTCATAGAACATTGAATACATCTGATTATTTTTTATTTAACATACGAGGCAGCTGTCAATGAGAATCGGGTGAGTCGTGAGGAGGCGGGTTAAGACAAGATCGCTATGGGGGTGCTAGCAAAGCCACGGGGGCTCTGCGTTCAGGGCCAACTTCCAGTTGCCGCAGTTATCTACGCACCTACCAATAGACTGGCCTACCAGCCTATTGCAGATAGAACCCTATAACAAACAATACAATAATTGTTTTATAAAAATATTTTTATATCAAGTTAATTAATAATCAAATGTAATTCTTATCTACATTTCTAGTCAAACCATATCTTGAAAAAATTAAATATTAATCTATTGGTTCAAAAGATAGAAAGCTCTAGAAACAAAAATGTACAAAAACATACTAATTTAGAAAAATTATAGTTTTACAATTTCATTCAATATTCACATAGCTTTTTGTATAATTATTAACTGTAATATAAATAGATATAATATGAAAATAAATATTAAGATATTTCATGAATACACTAAAGCATAGTTATGTTCTTGAGTGACATTTATTTACACAAGAAAATATTATGTTTATACAATTCATTTATATTCTATGGATCAATATATTTAATAGTACATGTCAAATATTTTCTTATTGTCTCACATTTATTTTATCAAATTTTATAAATAATAATTATATGAATTTCTTATCAGATATTTGAAAAATTCAAACTGAACTTTATGTAAAAACAAAATATTCATATATATTTTACATTAATTTTTGTTAAAAATAAATCTTATTTAAATAAACCTCTGATAAAAATATAATCACTACACCAAGCAAATACAACATCTTAAAAAAAAAAAGAAAAAAAGAAAAGCTTTTGGAAACTCACCTGGCGTTTAAAAGTAATTCTCGTAGCTTTTATAATACGTTTTAACAAAAAGACATTAAAATTAAAGTTTTGAATTCACAATAACTTTGATACAACTATCTTTATAATAATGTAGAGAGAACACTAATATGAACAAAGAAAATTACAAATTTGTATTGTTTCTTCTTTTCTTTAATAATGGCACAAGATGTGCTCAATCAATATACAATGTACAATATGTAATGTACAAGAAGTACAATGGACAATCAAGAATAATACTGAACCTGAACTAACTATTTGGGCCACTATTTATACGAGAAAGATAAGTATTATCAGGCAGTCTTTGCATGGTACCAAGTCTACTTCATGGAACAAAGCTTATCTGACGGCCAAGAAATACGCGGTTCAGAGAGATCCAATTAGACATGGAGGGATAATGCACACGCCACTCAAAGATCAAGTCTTCATTGGGGGCATGAAAATGCCATGTTTAATCTATATTGTACGAAATTAGAGATAACTATCATTCATCAAAATCAGATGACATTTAGTGATAATAGCTATGTAACAGTTCAAATAGTATCTCACATTATGTATGGTGCTTTCTTTTTTTATAAATAATACTATTTTTCATCAGAATAGAATTTTATATAATAAAATAAGTTCACAAATAATAAAATTTTGAAAATATATGTTTAGTCGTACAATATAAGGTGTAATTCCTTAAAAATAATTAATATATTTTATTGTACACACACACAGATATAGATATATGCACAATAATGTACTTAATTTATGGAAAATTTAAAAAAAATTTATATTAAAAGCGATTTAATAAATCGGATAAGATGTTCAAACAATGACATTTTAACTAATTAATTGTAAAAAAAACAATAAAACTAAAGCCTTTTAATACATTCTGGTTAAAAAAAAAATGTAACATATTGTTTGAATTATTCGAAACAAATATACGATATTACATCAAATTATGTCATTGTTATTGTTGAAAACGAAGACATCAATCTTTTGAAACGTATTAACATATTGACATTTACATTATCAGTCAGAAGTAAAAAGTTCAACTGACATATGGAAATTTTAAATAAATTCTTTGCATTTCTCGTTGTAATAGCATTGGTTTGCGCAGGAAATATCAGACCGAGTTAGGTAGCAGTAACTTGAAGATAACATAGCATCGAAATACAAACTGCTCTGCAAACATGATGTTAGCAAGTAGCAAGATGGTACAATGTTTGCAAAATACATTCATCGATTGTGCTAATACCTATTATACTGAATGAATAATTTGGATTCGAGTCAATTAACGTCACTTGCAGAACAGATAAGAGTCTTTAACAAAATCGCTATATAGCCTCGGTAGATAATGATACCGATTATAAAGGGGAAATCAACGAAACAACTGTGCAAAATAAGGAAATCTTGTACGAGGAAAATGAAGAAGCTCATGATCCGTTCGTAGAAAAAGTATTTAATTTGTCGTTAAAGATATCATATGACGCTTGAAGCTTGCACAAATTCTGCAAGGACCACGTTGTGACTCATCGGTAAAATTTTCACGTGACAAGCTGCAAGATGCAAGTGAATATGCATTAGCGTACGTACCTTATCAAATGATCGCCACCCTGCGGGTCGGCACTCGGTTTTTGACGGAATGATGGAAGTTTTCGGTGACTGGATCTCAAAAATCAGTCAAATCGATCGATGAAGGTTGAAGCTTCGTTCGTGTTGCGACCAGTGCCTGTGGAATTCTCTCGCAACCAAGTCCCCGTTAAAAGATTCGAGAAAGAACATTCGTTTGTTCAGTCGTAACCGCTCACGAGTTACGAGAGAACATCAACGCGCTAGTCGATTAACTCGTAAATTGTATTGTAATTCGTAAAAACTCGAAAAACCTGGTGAAACCGCAGAACTTCCCTCCCACGGACACACCACCGAGCAAGAGCTCCCGGAAGGGTTCGTAAATGCATCCAATCTGAAGCATATTCGATCCAAAACGTAACTCGAACTTCGAGTTTTCGTACCTCGATTATCGCATACGATCGATTACGAGATTTTAAATAAATCAAAAATAGAACTTAATAAGTTAAATGAATAATTGGATTGCGAATCAATTAACAATCAAAAGCCGGAAATCATTTATTTTTAGATCAGTAGAAATTAAGACGTCAAATAAATAATTTTGAAATAAATTAACATCTTTGAAAATGTTGCGAAAAGATGCCATTTTGTTTCGTATTCTATCATCCATTAGAAGATTAAAGTATTCTGAAACATTTTTCAGACTTATAACATAAATTCTCAGTGTTGATTATTCTTTCTCTTTTACAAAACTTGTTTATCTCTTTTCTTTATTCTAGCAATAGTTAAGCGCAATAACAAATACATGTTGGGAATAAGTTCACGATATATATCATGACACAGATTCTAATTTTTATTTGATACTATGCATAGTAAACAAACAAATTGTAGTATACATTACGATAAATTTCTGGAAGGTTATTTCTTTTAAAGGTTATAATAAAATTTAACTGATTATTAATAACAAAACAATACAAAAAGTATAAATTTTTCTCAAAAACAAAGTATATGTAGTAGTTTTTAATTTTACAGCTCTAAATAATATTGAAACAAAATTAAAACAGTAATAAACTGAATAGTATATCCATAAATTAATGAGAATGAGAAATGATATAATATCTATTCCATAGTACTAACAATTAGATCAGAGTTACATTGATACAGATGGATATGAAATTTAATTAACTGTTTAAATAATATAGATACACATTTATTTTGTATTACATTATTGTATTATAAGATACAAAATTAAGATAGAAATAAAATACAAATTTCCATAATTATCTTAATCCTTTGTGTGTATATAACATTATATCTATAAACTCAAATAACACATTTAATAAAATAGCTTTATTAAACATACTCAAATTACACATGTCAATGTAACAAATATAAATGTTATTCCTGTAGGAAGGCGTTTTATATAATAAAAAAAAAGTCAACTATAGTTAACACAGCCAATGTCTTCTCTATTCTTTTTTTATATAGATTTAATCCCACCTATTGTTAAACTACTTAGGTTATGTGTGCATATATGAAATACTTTAACCAATAAAATTATTAAAATTTTAAAAATTTATGTTCATGTCAATTTATTGTCTTTGTTTAATGTCTCAGTTGCAAGAGCTGCTCCAGTAAATGACCTGACAACAGTTTTTACTAATACAATACAGCTAAAAAGAAAAGAGTTTAATTTTATTAATTCATTAAAATTATTATTATGCATAAATACATAACATCATTAACAAGATAATACCTGAATATAGCAATTATTCCAGCTGGCATTAATTTACCAGTATTATAATATCGATAACCCATAATACCACCGAGAACTGAAGTTGCTGCTATGGATAGTCCAATATTTGTGGGATCTTGAGAAGTTTGATAAGCTCCATAGCCCAAAACAGATCCGAAAATAAGTCCAGCACCCAGAGAAGGAATCGATTCTTTAAAAAATTGTAATTTTTATTACTCACCATAAAAATATAATTTCTATTATTTATTTCCTTAACAAATAAAAATTATATAATAAATATAAAAAATAATTGATTAAAAATTGTAAAAATAATTTTATAAATAAATATCCATTATATATAATAATAATAATAATAACTTACGTGCTTTCACATAACCAAGTATACCACCAGCCGCTACTGTAGCAGCATATATACATCCAAGTACGTCAACAGGCATCTTTTACTGCACAATTGCAATTTTATTATTAAGTTCACTTTTTAAAACTCTATTTCGTTACTTTTTAAGCATTAGCAAATTATAAATGCTAGACAGAATGTATTTATACAAATTTTTTGCACATCACAACTCTAGTCGTGATGCATTCATTTTATAGATAGGTTATTTCATTTTTCTATTATATTCAAACGATTGTTGCGCTATCTATCGTAGTTAAAAATTTTATTATGTATCAAGTATGAACACAAACACTACGAAATATCACATCTGTGTTAGTGATTTTACTTCTTGGTTCAAATTTATTTTTAAACACCAATTATTTTACAAACCAAATATATATCCTGCGATAAAATATATTATAATTCAAATTTAACAAATTATTTAAATTACTGCGATAACTGAATTTTAACTTTTACATTTATACGCATTTTATATTTACAAAACTAAATAAACACATTAAAAATATAAATTTAATATATATATATATATATATATATATATATATATATATATATATAT